TACCCTGGGGAATCTATCCTGAAAATATTTTACATTTATACGAAGTCTGGTATTTTTCAACAAACTTCGGAGAATTGCTTATAAATATTTCAAATACTATAATTGACTACATTATATAAAACACGATTTTTGTCTTATAGGAAAATTCGTAATTATTTCAAAGCGTGCACGTTTCTTCTATAGTAATGTGAGACCACAAGTATATGTTTTGGTTTAAATTTCAAGTTTGCATAAATAATAAATCGTTGTTTAAACTACTGAAAAAATATTTTTTTAAAAAGTGTTTTTAGAAAAGTGAAGGAGGAAGTTTAGATTCATGTGGATTCATGCTTTGATTTCTATATATCCATCTTCAGTAAAGTATTGGCTTTATGATGGTACCAAATTTAGCTGCTACTTGTTGCAACTTTGCGAGGTAGACGCACTTTTATCAGTCTAGTTTCCATAAACGTCAGACGAGACCGCAATCAAAAGGAATGTACGCGTGTACATTCAACATGCTCATTCAAAGCGTGGAAAAAGCGCTCTCCAAACATTGACACGCTGAGTTAGCAACATCAATTCTTCCAATATTTTGTTACTGTGTAGAATAACTTAATCAAATTTTGAGCTGTCTTATAAACCAATTCTTATGATCAAGATTACATCTAGAAGTATATCTAAGCATCAATTGTTTGCAATCGTACATGCTTCTGATTCATCTACGAAAATAGACCGTGCATGTAAGCAATGTATGGACTTTCTGTTAGAAATATATGCTGTCGATAAATCAGATTTTCCAGATGAACTTTATTCAAATACATCCAGGACTGTAAAATTCTTCCTGTATCAACTTAAGGAAAGATGGACATCAAGTAAGCGAATATTAGCGCTATTTCTCAAAAAGAACAAATCATGGCTTGACAACAGCATTGCACTTTCGGATGAAACTAATACTTTTTTGCAACAGAACAGAGAACAGGATATTCCTTTAACATCAGCAGAACACCCACATGAGTCTTCAAAACAACCAAAACCTGGACGTCCTATCAAAGTATGGGAGGATCTTTCAGAGAGATCGCGAAAGAGAAAAGCACATGACATGCTGACACAAAATGAACCAACTGAACTTCATTATGCAGCATCGCAAGGGGCATTCAAGAAGAATCGGGATCTAAAGTATGTGCTTAAATTTGCAATGATGACTCCCTCACGTCCTACCAAGATAAGGAAACTTATTTTAATTCCTGTAGACAAACCAGAATCTTTCACGGCAGATGAGGCATTGTCCCTCTTCGTAGAATCAGACATGACTAAACGATCTTACCAAACGATGAGGTCTGCCGCAAAACGCAAAAGGGCTAACATTTACCCTCCTTAAATCAAAATAAGAGAAGCAAAAGAACAATGTTATCCTGATGGTATATCTGTCTAAGAAGACTCAGCAAAAGTGCCACTTCAAAGCCTTCTTGATCACACTGCGCTGAGAATTATTCAGGAACAAAAAGAGATCATTACAGAAGTTATTGAAAACCTGGAAAATGAACTATTTTCATGCAAGCTAATTTGCAAATGGGGTTTTGACGGGTCATCTGGTCAGAGTTAATACAAACAGAAATTTAACAGCACAGATCATTCTGATGAGAGCATGTTTTGTACCACACTTGTTCCTCTGCAACTGAAGTTTGGAGAACGCGTCTTATGGAAAAACCCAGTGCCTTCGTCAACACGATTTTGCCGTCCAATTCACTTGTAATTCAAAAAGGAAACTACTGAATTAAGTCAAGAAGAATACGATAGAATTAATGATGAAATTCAGCAATTGCAGCCAATAAATGTAACATTGGATATAGACTACGATATGGATGCAGCCAATCCAAGAAAATACAATATGCTGGTGACTTTTGATTTGCAATTGACAATGGTTGACCAATAGGTTATTAATGCATTGACAAAGGCCAAGTCGTCTATGCGGTGCTATATTTGTGGGGCTACTCCTAAAATATTTAATGACATAGATGTTTTACCTAGCGCAGCTGTAGAAAATTACAAGTATGGACTCTCTCCACTCTATAAGTGGATTCGATGCTTTGAAATGCTGCTTCATATTTTGTATCGTATTCCTGTAAAAAAGTGGCGTGTGTCATCAGAGCAAGATAAGGCAATAGTTGCTTCAAGAAAGAAAGAAGTTCACGATCGGTTTCATGCAGTACTTGGATTGAAGGTTGATGGACCGAAGCAAGGTTCTGGCAACACAAACGATGGAAACACCGAGCGAAGAGCATTTAAGGATGAAAAGAGATTTTCAGATATTTGTGGTTTGGATGAATCACTAGTCTACAGAATTCATATGATCCTCATTGCTATATCGTGCAAACTTCCCGTAGACCCTCATAAATTTGGAATATTTTGTTGGAATACCGCAGAGCTACTTGTCAAGTATCCATGTTCTGTTAATACATGGAGCAACAATCTTAGCTTCCTCAATGCTTCCAATTGGCATTATGAGTGAAGAGGCGCAAGAAGCCAGAAACAAAGACAATAAATCATGCCGGCTTAAGCATGCAAGAAAAGCCTCAAGAGTTGACACAATGAGCGATGTTTTTCATCGACTTATGGTTAATGGGGACATTGTAATTAGTAGATCGATCAAAGAACCACAATCAGAACCACTACCTACTGAAGTGAAGAACATGCTTAAAGACCAAAGCCTTCAAGTGGATGACAGCGACATTCAGAAACTGTGGAATCATAAAAAGATCTCTTTTAGTATTAACATTTTTTAAACTCGACAAATATTATGTAATTATTTAATACTACATTATTATGATCAAGGAAATTGTGCATTACATAGCTATGCGTGTGTTCTGTGAAAAATAAACTGTATCGTTATTTCAAAACAAATAATTAGTAGGTCTATTATATATTTTTGAACATTCTAAAAAAGTGCAAAACAAAAGAAAGAAATCATTCTAAATTAGTAAAAGCATTATTTTTCAAGGATTTTAAGCATTTGGATAATTAAGGTGTAGGCCTAATATCTGACAACGTCGATTGACACGTAATAAAATGTAAAATTAATTTGGCTTGGTATTATTACGAATTTTCGCCCCGTCCAATCGGAAAATGTAATTTGGTGACGTCATGAAAAGTCAAATGCTCCCAAAAGAATTTCGTATGTCTAAAAACTCCTTATGCATTTCAAAAACCATTACAATATGAAGTTGTTTCGGTATTACAATGGAAATTGGCTTCGTCCAATCAGAAAACAGTAAAATAGTGACGTCATATAGATTTGAAGGTGCTTCTATTTAATTCTACGGGTATGAAAACCCCTAGAATCTTCTTATGTTAGCTTAAATTAGCCTCTGTAGTTAGTAATTAATTTTGGCACACTTTGACTTCAGTCTGGCCCACTGTGCGCCGGTCAGACGTTTCAAAATTTGATCAATGAAATTATCTGGAGTTTGGACTTGGGTACATGCGTACATTGACGACTTTCTTGACTTACCCGCCAGGGGGCTGGTATCTCTAAACGGTTGTTAGTAGCCCGAACAGAGGGCCTCTTAACTTGCATGATTTTCTATCAAATTATCATTTTTAAATAAAGAATACCATAAGCCTAATCAACACAATTTTCTCCCGACGGGACGGAGGGGGGGGGGGTGTTTAATAGGCTTACCTTTTCGGGGAGCTTGGAGCGCTCGTCGTGGAATTCCTGGCGGCGCCCTTGAGGACGCGTATTACTTACGTGTACTGCAGAAAAAAATTAACTGGCAGGATACCAACAATCTGACATTAAACTTCCTATCCTTCTTTAATCATCTAAACCTAATTCGAATAGCACAATTTTTTGTAATGTTTCATCTAAAATTAAATTATCTTTTTGTTCCACTTTCATTCAGACTTACAATTTTTGACAACTATCATGGATAATCGTTTTCCCGGTACTCAAAGCTTGATTTGTGATATATTTGTATGGTCTGGTATAATAAGGAAAGAAATTCATCAATTTGTTCAAACATGTTTAGCATTTCAACGTTCGAAAGTTTATCGACATACCCGGTACCTAATTGGAACATTGGCTGTACCTGATCCCGGATTGATATTCCTCAAAATCATGGATACTCCTACTTATTGCTTGTGTCGATCGCTTTACTCGATTGAGTGTTGTACTTCCATCTACCAACATCACTACCGAGATTTTTGCCGAAACATTCATCACTCATTGGGTTGCAAATGTTGGTAAACCTTCAATGATTTTGGCAAATGGTGGCCAACAGCAGTTCGAGTCTCCTTTGTTCAGAGAATTTATTATACTGCTTGAAACTAAGCCAACCTACACAGCTGTATACCGTCTACTTATATGGTGGAACGTTTTCACTTAAGGTTTCTAACTCAAGGCATCTCTGACAGTTCGAACTAAGTCTGACATTGGACGCTCTCTAGCGGCATCAGTGTCTCGTGCATTCCGTCTGTAGACCATTCGATCAACTGCGATGCATTCGATTACCATCTTAATTTTTTTCTTTTTTTTTTGTATGTAGATTCAAGAACATGTGGCGATTTTCCGTGCGTCTTTGGAGTCGAATGTGTGGATATTGACCCTAATCGTGCGGATGTATAAGCTAAGTTGTTCGTCTGTCAAAGTTGCCCACCGGGAGTCGATTAAAATTGTTTTTAACAATAACAATTTGGAAATTTGTCTTCTAATTAATTTACAATAGTTGCAACTAATATAAAAATCAATTACGTTACGAATGCAGGTTTTTGACACAATTGGCCTTTTCTGAGTGTCATTCAAACTTATAAACTAACCAATCAGGTTAGTTAAAAACTCGTTTAAGGGCATTTAACAATCGAATGGATGTTATTTAGTTTTTTTTCGTGTGCATTTTAGCAGTTTGAACGCACAGTATTACGATGCCATTGTCTGTATTTACTTTTACAACAGTAAGCCTATCTCCATTCGTATGATAATGATTAGATATTGGCTAAGTATTGCCATCTTTTGTATGTAGATTTAAGAACGTGTGCGAATTTGCCGTGCTTCCTGGAGTCGAATGTGTGGATGTTGACCGTGACACTGCGGATCCATTGGCTACGTTGTTCATCTGCCAAACCTGCCCACCAGGCTATTTTGGAGACGGTGTCACTTGTTCATGTAACAAAGTCTTTAACAATAAAAGTTTTAAATCGTCTTCTAAATGTTTTACAATAGTTTCAATTAATACAAAACAATTTATGAGATACGAACTCACATTATTGTCACAAAAAAATGGTCTTTTTGGAGTGTTATTCAAACTTCAAATCTAACCAATCGCATTAGTTAAGGAAGGACTTGAGGGGCACTTAACATTTGGATAAATGGCATTATTAATATTTCTGTTGTGTATTTTACAATTATATTCAGTATCACGGTGTCATTTTACTTTCTCAACAGCAGTACTATCGCAATTTATATGATAATGGGGCTAACCTATGCTCAAATTTTTATGTAGGCCTAGATTCAAGAACGTGTGAGGACTTTCCGTGCTTCCCTGTAGTCGAATGTGTCGATGTTGACCGTGATCCTGCAGATCCGTTTGCTAACTTGTTCATCTGCCAATCCTGCCCACCATTCTATGTTGGAGACGGTGTCGCTTGTTCGAGTAAGAAAGCATCTTATTAATTTAAAACAGTTTATTGCAATTAGTATAAAACCAATTTATGAGATACAAACGCATGTTATTGTTACAATTGACCTTTCCGAAGTATCTTTACAACTAATCAATATGAGCGCACAATTATATTTAGTATCACGATGTAATACTAAATAATTTCTTCTCTATGTAGAATATACGTGTGCGGATTCGCCGTGCTTTCCTGGAGTCGAATGTGTTGATGTTGACCGTGATCCTGCAGATCTATTTGCTAAGTTGTTCGTGTGCCAAACGTGTCCCCAAGGCTATTATGGAGACGGTGTAGATTGTTTTTTTACAGTTAAATTTGTAAAAATTGTCCTTTTATTAATTTACAATAGTTATAATTAGTATGCAGAACACTTCATGCTGTACGAATGCACATTATTGTAACAATTTGCTTTTTCGGAGTGTCAGTCCAACATAAAAACTAATCAATTGGGACAGGGAAAAACGCGCTTGTGCCAAAAACACATTATGTTTTTCAGAACGTACAAGTTTACGTTCGTTTATACTGTTGTTTTCTGGCACCTCAGTAACTATATCTGAAGGGTGTGGCCGGCTTTGCATTTTTGAATAATTCAATTCAATATAATGATTTACAAATTCGTAAACTATGCCTGGTCTTAAGTATATCCATAAATCTCCGTCTAGGTTATCAGTTCTTTGACAATGATACTGCTGTAGGCCCATAATTATGCAGGGGTTCCAAGTCTCCTGTAACTCGCGGGAGTCTTCCGGAAATCGGGACGATCTTCCGCACTCCCGCAAACAAGCAAGAATCTCCCGGAAATAAGCAATCCCCCACCAAATTCATAATATTTGTTTAAATATTTTATTATCAATTGTTTCATGAAAATCAGCGCCGATTGGCATCACTGAGTTCAGTAATATATAAAATTAAATTTGTTTAGAATGTCATAACCACTACAGATTAGTGGAGAATTCAATTCTATTTTTTTTCCAAATTATTATAAAACAATGTGGAAAATTATATTATAAAATGTATGTATGAGAGTGTCATTTCTGGCAATCTAAAGGTGCCATAATCATAAATTTTCCTACCATGGTGGTGATGAGGTAGTAGGCCCTACATCTGGGAAATTCCCTCTCTGTCACCACCTCTTAACTTTGGATGGGTATATTTTCAAGGCTAATTATGTAAAAAGAGGGGCTTCCTTTCAAAATGAATGCTGTAAGTTTTGGGAATTTGTACTACTGTAAAACAATAAAAAAAATCCACTGTAACAAACATCAATCTGTATCATGGAGTGTATTAACTGGCATTGCCATTAAACCACCTAAACTACTGTATAAACCAAGCTTGTTTTGATTTATTTTGTTTTTGAAATTCATGTACAGTGTATGTACTGTACTATTTCGAACAGAATCATATGCTATCTTGAAAATTGGGCTTCAATTCTAGTTTTTACGGTATACTATTTGTATACGAAAAAGCAAACAAATGTTATTCGATATATGTTGGTGTACTGTATTCACTGCATGTTTAAAATACTACAAATAGTGATGTAATGTGTACCAACCCATCTGAAGGATGTTCGTCGGCATCTTCCTTGATGCCTACAACTACGACCGATGTCCCCATTGTGTACCTATACGTTATTCTTCCAATCTTTCAACCTTTATTTACTTTCATAATACTTCAATAATTTATTTTCAAAATCACAAAATAAAAATTTTATTAAGGAAGAGAGAAATGATAACACATCTACGAGCAGTGATGCATACCATTTAGTGTTATGCGAGTACATTCTGTTTATAATGGTTATACACAGTGCAGATGATGACGATGCATTGTCTGTTAAAAAGCGTACATAAACTGTATGTTTTAACATTCTGCAACGCTTTGAATTTAGACTTTATTTTATAAATATTTATGGTTGTTCAAACAATTTGTATACATCTAACTGCAAAGTTAATACACTGTAGGCTCTTTAAATTGGAAGATATTAGTGAGACAGCATACAAAATAACTCCAATCTCTAAGCCTCATCATGAAACATACTTTGTGTAGAAAATCTTGTATGCATATTTTCTTTGTGAAAGAATAGTGTGCCCTTAAAAAATGATAAGGTTCACTGTTCAGCAAATCCGTATCTGTTGGAATAGAATGAACTATTTTGATAGAGCTGTTAGAATCAATGTATGTGTCCGCTTAGTTAAAAGTCTCTTATGCTAAAAGGTAAACTCGATAATATAATGATATTATCCGAAATTTATAAGGTGGCAGTTCCAAAAGCGATCAAAGGCGCACTATAGCCTACAAGTGTAATTCCCTCTGAAAACAGTTCCAGAGAGTAATTGGAAGCTGGTTCCAAAGAGATGCAGAAGCAAAGGAAGAAACCATTGACCATAGGCTTTGAAAGAATATTTTGAAACAGGAAGGAGGTTTCTAGAAGATGAACGGAGACGGCGAGATGAAGTATACTTTGCAATCAAGGCGTGTACATTGGACGGGTGACTAGAACATATTGCTTTGTATGTGAGAACTAACAATTGAAAAATAATTCGTTGCTTGATCTTCAACCAGAGGAGTGAGTTACAATAATCAAGCCTAGATAAAAATAAATATGCAAAGAAGTTGCCGAGGATAATACCAGGAGACGAGGACTGATGCCCTCAGATGAACGCATATACTTCAAACGGTCAATGATATGTCTTATTAGTATTATTAATAGTATTAAATTTGTTATCAAAAACAAGTGGTAGATTCAGATCTGCAGAATGATTACTAAGTGAGAGGCATTTAGCCGATCAAAGACAGTGTTCACATCTCTCCTCTCAAACTTTATCTAACTAGAATCTAGATTGTCATGTAAATAATTATCAGATTTTGAAAATATATATATATATATATATATATATATATATATATATATATATACTATTTAGGTGACAACCTGGAAGGTAAAATAGACATGTTTTATGATTTAGTTGATGCGGTTAAATAGAATCTTCATCTCGTCCTAGAAGTACGACTACTCAATAGTTCGATCATGAGTTACTTACTCTACTCAAAGAGAAAGAAAGATATTTTCGAACATCTAGGAAATATCCATCAAATTTTAACCGGGAGTTGTTTCTTCAGGTACTACTTTATCCATCGACCTTAAATCTAACTCCAAGCATTTCTGGTCATGAGTTCGTTGCAAACGTAAAATCAAAGCCATATCTATTTTGTACAGCATGGTGGACAAACTACCCACAGTGTTGAAACAAAAGCTCTATTATTTAGCAATTGTTTTGAATATCATTTCAGCTCCGAATTACAGGCTTGCCATCATGATCTTTCCAATATTCTGATCGGCATTCTCAATACCATTATTACTGTTCATGATCGTAGTGACATTCAGACTTACCAAAGTTCAGTTGATCCTCATACGGCCTCTGGATGTGATCCCATATGCAACCTGCTTCTTAAAAAATGTTCTGAATCGTTTTCTTATCCAATTCCCAACATTTTTACTTAATTACTTCGATTCATTTTCCAAAATTTTTGAAATCCTTGAATATCGTACCGATACATATGTAAGGTTTCACAAACAAGGTTCCTCATTAGAGACCTATTTCTCTGCTGTCATATATATCTCAAATTTTTGGACGAATTGTTTTTAATATTGTTTATTTTTAACTCGCTCCTATTAGTTTAGTACCCGGTAGGTCATGTCAGATTAACCTATCGTGTCTCCTGACTTCTGGGTATACGAAGCTATCCGTCGTGGAAAACAGTATGATCTGATTTACACCCCACTTCCCGTGCGCTTTCGATCAAGTTCCACACATTTCACACATTCTTCTGTTACTTAGGCTAAAATCTGTCTCTTATACACATCTAGATGTGTATAAGAGACAGGTTCAGCAAATCCGTATCTGTTGGAATAGAATGAACTATTTTGATAGAGCTGTTAGAATCAATGTATGTGTCCGCTTAGTTAAAAGTCTCTTATGCTAAAAGGTAAACTCGATAATATAATGATATTATCCGAAATTTATAAGGTGGCAGTTCCAAAAGCGATCAAAGGCGCACTATAGCCTACAAGTGTAATTCCCTCTGAAAACAGTTCCAGAGAGTAATTGGAAGCTGGTTCCAAAGAGATGCAGAAGCAAAGGAAGAAACCATTGACCATAGGCTTTGAAAGAATATTTTGAAACAGGAAGGAGGTTTCTAGAAGATGAACGGAGACGGCGAGATGAAGTATACTTTGCAATCAAGGCGTGTACATTGGACGGGTGACTAGAACATATTGCTTTGTATGTGAGAACTAACAATTGAAAAATAATTCGTTGCTTGATCTTCAACCAGAGGAGTGAGTTACAATAATCAAGCCTAGATAAAAATAAATATGCAAAGAAGTTGCCGAGGATAATACCAGGAGACGAGGACTGATGCCCTCAGATGAACGCATATACTTCAAACGGTCAATGATATGTCTTATTAGTATTATTAATAGTATTAAATTTGTTATCAAAAACAAGTGGTAGATTCAGATCTGCAGAATGATTACTAAGTGAGAGGCATTTAGCCGATCAAAGACAGTGTTCACATCTCTCCTCTCAAACTTTATCTAACTAGAATCTAGATTGTCATGTAAATAATTATCAGATTTTGAAAATATATATATATATATATATATATATATATATATATATATATATACTATTTAGGTGACAACCTGGAAGGTAAAATAGACATGTTTTATGATTTAGTTGATGCGGTTAAATAGAATCTTCATCTCGTCCTAGAAGTACGACTACTCAATAGTTCGATCATGAGTTACTTACTCTACTCAAAGAGAAAGAAAGATATTTTCGAACATCTAGGAAATATCCATCAAATTTTAACCGGGAGTTGTTTCTTCAGGTACTACTTTATCCATCGACCTTAAATCTAACTCCAAGCATTTCTGGTCATGAGTTCGTTGCAAACGTAAAATCAAAGCCATATCTATTTTGTACAGCATGGTGGACAAACTACCCACAGTGTTGAAACAAAAGCTCTATTATTTAGCAATTGTTTTGAATATCATTTCAGCTCCGAATTACAGGCTTGCCATCATGATCTTTCCAATATTCTGATCGGCATTCTCAATACCATTATTACTGTTCATGATCGTAGTGACATTCAGACTTACCAAAGTTCAGTTGATCCTCATACGGCCTCTGGATGTGATCCCATATGCAACCTGCTTCTTAAAAAATGTTCTGAATCGTTTTCTTATCCAATTCCCAACATTTTTACTTAATTACTTCGATTCATTTTCCAAAATTTTTGAAATCCTTGAATATCGTACCGATACATATGTAAGGTTTCACAAACAAGGTTCCTCATT